AAGCAGCACTTTTCCTGTAGTCGGGTAAATAGTACAAAATGGGCAGCAGTACCTACATGGCCATAACAAAATAGACCACATATTTTGCCAACAGTTAGCTACAAGACTATTATCAAGGTGAATTTGGTCGGAACTATGTATTATACATAATATATTACGTAGGTAGGTAGTGCACACATGTGAATGACCTTCTTAAGTGACCAGTTTGCAGCACGTGCGGGAACATAAAATCACGAGACTTGATACTATTGCAGCAATCTGATAACACATGTACTATAAATTTTTAAATACTTTCAAAATGTGTTGAGCATAATAGTGTAAATATTATGTTTAATTGCAAACGACATCTATATAGATTGAAATTATTGACAATGCACAGATTTCATGCATTCTTAGAGCTAATACGAAATATTATAATATAATACAGAACATTTGTTATTAAAGTTGAAGGCACTTTGACTGGAAGATGCTTATGTTAGATCGTGGGCAAATGTGATAATGCAATTGTGATTGATTCTAGATCATAAAATCCGTTCATTAGTGTAGATACACATACACACACACGTTAACATAAGTACAATAAAAATTATGAATTGAATCATATTAAACCTCTTTAATGCATTTGAAGATCATTGTAAATTGTGTAGCTAATTTAAAAAAAATAAATCTGTCCTTGTAAACTAAAGACGCTACTTAAATAACCTTCGATGATTAGGTAATGATATTTTTTGCGCCTGTGCTCTTCGCAAATTTAGGAATGGTTCGGTCAACGACTTTTGAATTATCTAAACACATAAGCACTTAAACAATAATTACGTTTGGTGCAAAAACATATATGTCATGCCATGTACTTACAAACTCAGAAGTATATCTATTTAAAACGACCTCCTTGATAAAATATGCCTAATCTCGTCCATTTCACAACTGTGATATTAAAGTTGGTCCAAAACATTGACCTACATAATGTGATTAAAATTAATAATAATTATCATTACTAGTGTATACTAGAAACATTAAAAATGTTCCCACAAAACATGGTAAATATTGAATAGAAATTTTAACTGTTAATTTTAAACAAGGGGTCTTAAAACAGAGAACGCGATATTATTTCCGTGTCTTTAATTAAAAATAAAAATTAGTTCGTGTTTTATATAAATAAAAGCGTGTAAAATTAAACATTGACTTTGTTATTTCATTTAAAATTCATAGAAATTGTTGCGACGTTGTAGCGATTATCTCAAAAAATAATGACGTCAACTAATTGTTTACTACGATATAGCCCGTCGGCACTTTCAGTAACACCGACCATCGCATGTAACGTTGGGTACTTTGTGAGTATGTTATTTTTGATCACAGACATTATTTTATTACGCCACGCCGTACTTACTACAAATTGTTATCACAAAACCGAAATACGAAGGTGTTGTGAAATAAATTAATGAAGGTTTCCAAATATTTTGACCATAATGTCTTGGGAGGGAGGATGAAAAGTCACATTTTTATCAAAAAACTCGTTTTAAAATGTAAACAGCTCTGATTTTGTTATGTAACGTATTATTGCATACACTGCAAGCTGTCCTCAATATGTGCAGCTATAAAATTAAAAATAAAACGCAATTTAGAGTTGTACCAAGTTAAATCGATAAATCGATGACCCAGTTGTTGAAAATGAACTTGTATGATTATTTTATAATCGTGTATTACCCATACGTTGTGGTTGTAGTCGATCGTCTTCTGTTGTGACTGTGTGTTGTAAAACTTTTGTTCATCGATTGTTGATGGAATTTGTTACCAATGGTAAATGTTCCTTTAATATATTACTATAATCTGTCTTTGTTTTGCTGCTGGTTTCTGTGATGGCCTTTGATGTAGGCTCGTATTTTTAAAAAAAAAAGCTATAAATCTAATGAAGTAATGGTGTAATGTTATGGCAATGGCTACAAACAAAAGGCCATATATATAATTGCCTAACACTGTACTATTATTTTGTTTCGGTATCAAGATAAAACTGCATTGGAACGAATTGAATTCAACATAAGAATTGCGTTGAGAAATATTTGCTTCTCGTGTGAAGATTTTAAATACAAATTGAACAATAAAGATAAGATAACGATTCTGAATATATGAACAGGTTTGGGGAAACACTACTTTAGGGTCCACCAATGCGGCGGATAGTAAATAATATTTAAAGTGTAAAGTAAACTGTTTTAATAAAATATAATATAATGAGAACACATTTTTCAATGGAAAAATTATGACATTAGAAAACAAAAGAATTGACAGATTCTATTAGAAGAAGAAAATACTAAAGAAAAGAGGTGAGCTAACTAATAGTAAAAAGTATGAATATGAGGAAGGTACAGAATAATGAAGTGATAAATAATGAAACGTAGGTGAGCAGCCTACACAGGTAACTGATCTAACACTGATTGATGTTACACTATTACACAGTCTGAGATACATAAGTGTTCGAGTATCTAACTATTTGCGGTATGTCTTTAACAACGTAAAAGTTTTATGGTTTTCCTTAAAAGCCTGAGAAGAAAATTGTTATACTTACTTGAGTAAAATAGTCGAGACACGATTTCTCGCTTACGAAATAACAAGTATTATCGGCCATCGGCCATATGAAAGCTATTCCTGCTTACATATCGTGACCAGTTTGTGTACTGGGAGCCTGTCCCTGGCGTGCTCAGGCGTATTTCTATGCACTTTCTCTGCAGCTACCCTCGCGGACCCCGTACAGATTGAATTTATCGATAACGCTGCAGGCTGCACTTTTCTGATTAACGACACTATTATAAAATAACCGTTTTTATCATTTGATTTATGTCAGTCGTAAAGCTAATCTAAAGCTTTCGCTTATTTTATGGGTATAACTACAATCACTGTTTATCCGGAAAGTATCTGGTATTGGCTGATAAAAGTAGTTATTAAAGATTAAAAGCGTTACGTTAATTATATCTTCTCGTGAAATTTACATTCACTTGTAAATAGAAGATATTTTAGTGCTTTTAACTCGTCGAGTACCGGTTTTGTAGACATAATTATACAACAATAGGTTGCGGTCACCGGTGACCGCTTGGTGTTTGACAGTTTAATTGGCGTAGGAAAGTGCGATACATATTTAAATTAATGTTGTAAAGCTATCATACGTTTAACAGCGCCGGTAATCAGAACTATAATTAGGTGTTTTGGTTGAATTGAATCGAATTAATCGTTATATAATATAATCAAGTAATACATGCTTGATTAGAATAACAACTTCTTTAAACTTTTGGGCCCTATTTATAAGTTTGATTGCAGTACTTGAGTGCTCATGTTATGAACTATGTAACTTCGGAGTATTTTGTATAAAAATTACTAGTCCCTTTTGCTATATTGGCTTCCTAAACTAACAACCCATGGTAAAGTTAAACCCATCTTGGCACAACCTTTCTCCTTTCTGGATACAGCATAAGTTGATAGTGTTTTCCTGGTATTTCGAAAGACGATACCGTCGTTGGCTTTCTTTTCATTCATCTTTATGTATCCTGCGAAACAAATAGCTGTGCATCTGCATAGTTAAGTAAATAGCCCAGCCTTAGGTAATAGGAAGACTGCTGCATTATTTGACGCAATGCACTTAGTAAAGCTTTGTGATTTCTTTATCTTTCATAACAAACTACTGTTACGACAGGCTCGCTGCTTTTTCTTAGCAATTTTCTAAGTAATAAGTTATGAGATTACCTCGAATTAAGCGCTGCAGAATGGCCATTTCTAAATAAAATAACGTATTGTTGGGATTGTTAGTGTTTTTATTTGATCATTATTACCTTTTGTGAATTTGTAGTTACTTGTTGATTGGGAAATTAGTTTTTAGTATCAACTGTTACTATTATTGGTACAAAGTAATATAGAGTGAGTGTATATCTGCTGCTATACAATACATAGGTATATGAACTGGTGGGCTAAAAAGAAAACATTACTGTTTTCTTACAAAATAGGTTTGTTTTCGATTGGTTAACAAAACTCCTATATTATTTGAATACAAACCTATAAGAACATACTTAAGAATGACTTGTAAAGGAATGAGTTTTCCATTATGAGATTTTTGTTTGTTATTTTTTTATAGAATTTCCAGGAAATTCAGAAGTCAACGGAGTTCACCCAACTATTAACTTGAACTTTGTGAACTTTCCTTCCTTGAAATGTTATTAAAAACGTAAATAACACAGGAAAAACAAAAGAAACCTTTCGTCCGCTTTTTGGCAACTTCGTCCGGTATCCGGGCCGAATAAATTATCCATTGGGATATCATAATTCTCTCATACTAAGAATAAAGAATAAATAATATTAAATCGAAATTCACAATATGTTTAAATATATGTTTCCTTAATACAAATGTCTGATAAATTTATTATAGTTTTACTGATCCTTCTTATGAATATGATGGATTATTTTTATATAAAAACACGTTAGTATTAACATATTAACTAAACAACTAATATCCAAGACTGCTTAGGTATTACATATAAAAAAAAGTTCCATACTACATCAGAACGAGCTCAAGGTCAATCTTCAGACAGATTAAAAAGGCTTAGGTTAGGCATTGATTTATTATAATCTGTGTATAAGTTGTATAGCTAATTATACAAAACATACTATTTAGCATGTCTGCGTATTAATTAATACGACTTTATTATTTCCTAATTATACGTATGCACATAGGTACATATAATGTAAATCATAATTAATTATAATAATTCATGGCTCTGGCTAAACCCTTGTCCTTCCTAGAAGGAAACATTACAATAAAATAATATACATCATGAATTCATGATGTATATTAATTTTATTTAAAAAAAATAAACTAAATATTCTTTATCTTATATCTATCTAAACCTGTATATAAGATGTTATCGTGGCATTTGGTGTTTTGGTTGCGAAGTACTTTGCTAAGTAGTAGTACTACAAAGTAGTGTTGAATAATAAAATCTTATGTTCTATTTTTTTTCCAGGCCATCATGCCTCCCACTCCGGACTACAGCGTGGACCTGGACCTGGGCGAGCCTCCACCGGAGCTAATGGAGTACGCTCAACAGCATCTTGGAGAAGACCCCAGCACCAGACTCCAAGCCATATATGAACTCCGAGAAATGATTTATGGTGAGAATTATGTAACATAACATCACGCATTTTTATCCCCGAAGGGGTAGGTAGGCACAGGTGCACATTACGGTACTTAATGCCACTGTACAATGCAACACCCACTTTTCACTATTTATGTTATGAGTCCCACGTAATAGGGGGTGAGCCTATTGCCATATACCGGGCATAATTCCAGATTCTGTGCTACCACTGAGATTTTTGAAAAATCCCAGTTATACTTTGCCCGACCCGGGAATCGAACCCGCGGCCCCTTGCCCGGCAGTCGCACTTGCGACCACTCGGCCAACGGGGTGAGAATTATGTATTTTATTTATAATGGTTTGTTGGTTGTTTGGTCCGATCACCATAAAGACTAAAGCAGTGGTTCCCAAAGTTATCTGGACTATGATCTATTTAAATCAAGTTACCAACCTCAGGACCCACTTTTAGGAAATGAAACCTGTTATCAATATGATGGTTGGTTAGTGTGTCATTCTACAAACAAGACCCACTAAAAATTCACTTGCGACCCACCACCCATAACTCGGAAAAAGTCACATTCGTATTTGCCGTTGGTAAGTTCCGAACTCATGCATGAGAAGTGGGCTGGGGACTTAAACCTCCACCTCGACTTGATTGATTGAGAATTAAAAATACATATTATTTTTTAATTTAACTTGATTTAATTACATAATAATAAAAATAGAGCAGTATTGTAACAGTAACCGCTGTCCATTATGTATAATCCGAGGTCCTTTGTTGTGGTTACCCGGTGACTAAGTGACACGCACGTGTGCACTGGTATTTTACATATATACATATACATACAGGATTAAATTACGTTCTAATTAATTATTGTAGTGGAAAAATGTTATAGTGCTTATAAAGACTGGAGCAGAAATGAATATTGTAAAAATTAAGCTTAAGAATATATGCCACAAAATAACTGAGATATTTAAACCAATATTTTACGTCCGCGTACTGTATTTTTACCAACTTCAACTATGGTCGGTTGACTGCTTTTCTCTTTGTTTGTTCGCTTTACTCAGCGATTTTTTCAATTACGTTACATGCTACCTTATCAGACCATTAAATCGTAAGTAAGATGTAATAAAAAATGAAAATATGTTATAGTTATCCAAAATCTGTGATAAATAAAATTTGAGTGTCTGTTTGTAATATGTAAGTGGTTATTTTATAACCGCTTTTTCCCACATGTACGTATATATGAATATACATAGGTCCATACGATATCTACACATACCAACATTTTTTTTACAATTATGTCTATCTATGTGCCCATTTGTACTGGTTAATCTCTGGAATTGCTTGACCGATTTTGCAAGACTTTTATTGGCAGATAGCTGATGTATTAAGGAGTAGGCATAGGTGGCTTTTATTTTGGAAAATTGAAATATAAAAAGTTATGTTCTAAAATTCATATTCTACGCGGACGAAGTCGCGGGCAACACCTAGTTTTAGAATAATTTTTTGAATATTTTTTACAGTATATACGTTGCGTAAATACAAAGGTACATATTACTTAATACAATATATATAACTACTTATTTATTTAACTAGGCCACGAAAGCCTTATCAGTGATCAAGACAACTGCATACGAAGTTTTAAAGATATATTTTTTATTGATGAGACATGTTCAGAGATAAATGCAATAATAACATTTTGTATTGCACAATGCAACGGCTAATATGCATAGATAGTTGAACAATAGGATGTGGGCGAGACGGGAGACAAGACGGTCATGACCATGACACGGATTAGTAGAGCAACGAGCTTTGCTTCTAGCTGGTTTGATTCATATCACGACTTGCTAAGAAAGGATACTAATCATGATATATTGCGATACGAAAACATTAATTTTGGGCAACATGTCGAAACTCTAGTCCTAGTTTTGACTTTAAGTGTCGCGTTGATTATTCCAGCAAAGCTTGGAGAAAGATAAGTGAATATTATATGACGATATTATCATAATTATGTTTACAATAAACACATATGTTCAGAGCCCTTTACACTGAGAATACTATAACAATTTCGAACCAAAAAATGTTACTAAAGCTTACAAAATATTACGTAAAACTTGTTTATACACCGCGACCCTTTTCAAGAACGCAGCTGTCTCATTTACTTTTGTGGTTGGGGAAACAAAAGCATAACTACCCTTACCTAGTCATCCTTTACATTATTCAGTTGACAAACGTTCAGTGTTGACAAAAAGTCGAGCCTCTAAAGTTAGAGCCCTTATTCATTGGGACACAACGGTCGTACGACTAAATCGCACAAACAACAAAATGTACAGTTGTATTGTACCAATCAGTCTTAAGCCGTCATCATCATTATTAACAGCCTATAAGTGCTGAGCAAAGCCTCTTCTCATACGGAGAAGGTTTGAGCATTACACCAGGCTGATGGTGATTGGTATAGGGAATATTTAACTCGTCAAGTACCGTCATTATAGACACAATTATAGAACAATAGGTTGCGGTCACCGGTGACCGCTTGGTGTTTGACAGTTTCTGGTGTCATCGTGATTGCGTAACCAACGAGTCAAATAAAGATAACTTGGTTGTCGTGGATCAAAACAACCCTAAAGTGCAGCTTCGTACGGCCATCATGTCCTAATGGCACAGGACCCTTAGGTAGCGATGTTGTCGTGACCATGATGTAGGGAAATTATTTAGATACATGCGAGTGGTTACATTGTTAGGTCATTGACCTGTCTGGATAGAAGGATACACTAGGCTTTGTAGCCTGTTAGAATATGGAAGTTAGCCAATTATCTTAATTGATTTATCTCAGTGAGAGGGTTACTGGGTGTATATGTGGTTAACTGATTATAAATTTACACATAACGCCGGCGTAGTGATGTAAATAGTGCGATGTTAAGTAGAGTACCTACTTGGAAATATGATTTATTTATAAATTATAATGTTATCGGCTTACTTACGTAATAATTTGACGAGGAACTCGACTAGTTTCAAGCTATGCTAGAGGCTCATATTCATGCGCAGCATTTCGCGACCCGCGACGCGGCGACTGGAATATGAGCCTCTAGCATGGCTTGAAACTAGTCGACTTCCTCGTAAAATAATTACGTGAGTTAGCCGAAAACATAATAATTCATTTAGTATGTCTCACGAAAGTTACAATACAAATATGATTTATTTATTTTATAAACTGGTTAATTTTCTGCGCTGCACCATACACTTATTGGTTTTCGTGTTATGTAAATGAATATAAAAAATGATAGTCTACCGAATATGGTTAGAAAACGATGCGACTTCATCTTTATTGTAAAAAAGACAGGATTCAAGAAGGAGCCAACATTACATTAATATTTTGTTACTATGCTACGCCTACGCTACTAAATGCTGTAGTCTGTAAATCTGTTATAAAACTTTTTTATATCGACACGATATATAAATTAACCCTCGTTAAGAGAGTGAAAGAATTCATATAAAATATATGTATAAACAAGTTCAATAAACGATATATATGTATAAGCAATAAGCATAAATGAATTCAATAAACAGTTTTGTGTACAGCAAATCAATAAGATTCTGCACATAACTTCTTTAGAGAAAATTTTATTCCAGTAACAGATAATATATTGATACATGTTAATAAGCTATCGTTTTTATTGAAGGAATTTTCTCGAACACGACATTTAATGCATTCTCTACATAAGAATATATAAACCAAAGCGATGGGTAGTGCTGTAAAAAAATATACAGACGAAAGAAAATCTTAAATGTCAGTGTAAAAGGAGTTCATTCAAAAACCGATAACTTAAATTTTAAAATGTAACGGCTCTTTTTGTAACTCAAGTTTGAGAAGGTCAAAGTTTACAAAAGAAAGTTAAAGTTGTTCTTAACAACAATAATATAATAGGGTAGATGCCTAATTTTTATTTTAGTGTCCGTCTGGTAGATTATTTTAAATCATTAAACACGTATTTTTTATTTTCTTACAGAAACGAATACTTTCGACGATATATTGATTTGAAATGTCGCGTGACGTCACTTATATGTACATTTTATACGTAGAAATGACGTTATAGTCCCCACTCTTAAACTTTGATCCGTTTTATCTAAGTATTGTTTTATTATAATTTTTAATTACCTAACTTATGGACTAATTAGATTTTTAAATTTTATTTCAACCCTGTCATTATCCCAATTTTATGATTCGATGTGGATATATTTTGGTTTTAAGTGATTTTTAACATTTGACAAGATTCGACAATACTAACGCATTGTTTTAAAGTTTTTAAATTGTTAATTATATTATCAGTGACAGACACTTTTAATACCTCAGAAATAACTAATAATAATCATACAAGTATTTTTTACTTATGATTACGTATTTGATTTTAATTTCAAGTTTACATTATTTCAGAACGTGGTGAATGTACCCCTCATCGCATGGATGACGAATTCTTAATCAAATTCCTGCGCGCGCGCAAGTTTATCCCGAGGAGGGCTCATAGATTGGTAAGTCTATTATTATACTTAATAGACCGAGTGGTTGTCATTAATTGAATTACCAAAAAAAATAAATGAATTTGAATGCTTTGTCTAGAATCAGGCTTGTAGTGTGCATACTCGATAGAATATACATAACTAGCGACCCGCCCCGGCTTCGCACGGGTGCAATATGTATATACATACAAACCTTCCTTAAGAATCACTCTATCTATTAAAAAAAACCGCATCAAAATCCGTTGCGTAGTTTTAAAGATCTAAGCATACATACGGACATACAGCGAAAGCGACTTTGTTTTATACTATGTATTGATAATACATACTTATGAGTCCAACAAGACTGCCTCGTCGGCCGAGTGGTCGCAAGTGCGACTGCCGACGGCAAGGGTTTCGATTCCCGGGTCGGGCAAAATATTACTGGGTATTTAAAAAAATCTCAGTAGTAGCACGGAGTCTGGAATTGTGCCCGGTATATAGCAATAGGCTCACCCCCACTCACCCCCTATTACATGGGACTCATAACATAAATAGTGAAAAGTGGGTGTTACATTGTACAGTGGCATAATGTGCACCTCTGCCTACCCTTTCGGAGATAAAAGACGTGATGTTATGTTATGTTATGTTATGAGTCCACCAAATGTCCTGAACTATCAGTATATAAATCACTGGTATTTCTAAGCTAACATTCATAAATCAATCTTATTCTTAAGCATATGTATTCATAAAATAAATTCTGAACCAGAACTAGGTTTATGATATGTTTCAAAATATTAAAACCTTGAAAAGCTGTAAAGGGTGATCCAGTTTCATATATACATGTTTATACTTTGCGAAATTATCTATTGAATAAGAACGGACTGAAAGATGATTGACTAATTACAGACACTATTTGGTAATTGTATACCAAATATTTAAATATGATATCATGCCAAAAGGTTAAACATGTATGTTAGTAATATGTATTTAATATCAATGTTGATATTGAATATCTTATATTAAATTTAATTAATTGGAATGGAGGAACTGTACCTAATTTAGTCTTGTACGTTTATTTTTAAACACGAATTGGCTGACTAGTCATATGTTACTCTAATGGATGAATATTTTTATGTTTTTTCTTTGTTTTCGTAATTAAGTATCGGTATTTTCAATGTCTTTTATACTAGGCCGTTGTCGTTGGCCGAGTAGTCGTAAGTGCGACTGCCGGGCAAGTGGTCTAGGGTTGGAAGTTCTAAAAAAAATCAGTAGTAGCACGAAGGCTGAAATTGTGTGTTGTTATGACAATAGGCTCACCCCTTATTACATGGGTCTCATAAATAGTGAAAAGTGAGTGTTACATTATACAGTGGCATTAAGTGCTGTAATGTGCACCTCTGCCTACCCCTTCGGGGATAAATGATGATGTTATGGTATACTAGGTAAATAATAAGTTCTCTAAGTCTAAAATCGGATTTAAGTTACCAATTCATTAACACAGCGTCGTCGGCAAAGTAAAAATACGAAGAATTATTTTGTGTCTATAACTAACAAAACGTTTATATTTAGGAATGTAAACTGATGAGTTTATTCAAGTATCAATGATAAATAAAAATCTGACGTAGAAACCGTCTACCGTTCTCATAGCGGTCACTCCTACCCACGTCAACATGGTGACGTCAACATCGATATTTAAAGTTATTCTATCATGTTTTGTATTTACCATAGATTTCGTTTCATTTATTGAGATTTACAGAAATATAATCCTTGTTTTCACAAATCTAATTCTGGTTGTAAATCATGAATCAGGTGGGTTGATCTATAATTATAATAGGTCTACATTATATATTGTTTGCTTTGATGATAGTACAGTTTTCATGTCCATTTGTACGAATTATTAAGAAGCCTTGTTAGCTTATTCGAGCAGTAGAATTTCGGTCAAAAGTTATTGAATAAAAAAGAAAATTATAGACTTATATAGATTTTTCTTTTCCGATGCGAATTAGGTGAATACTTAAGTCCTAGTTAAGGTGAACTTTTACAAACCTACGCACTCAGAGTTATTTAATGGCTACATAACACATTCCTTAGCAATTCTTTTCAAAACAAAATCGTTATTAAGGAATAGTTTAAGTAATCATTAAATATCTCTGAGTATCGCATATAGACATATTAAAAATGGTATAAATAAAACCAAAAACTAAATAAAAACTAAAATACCAAACAAAAATGGTATATGATGGTAAATAATGTCATGAAATAATAGATGTGTTGTATTGACATTTCGTTATTTGGACTTTATTACCTAAAGATAATAAACTCTATTTAAAAATAGAGTCACAAAAGTCTCAAATTAGAATCCATATATTATCTAATAAGAAACATCTATTATGACAGTAATTTAATCATATATTATCACATATAGAACCAATAAAATTATTATTATGAGCCGTGCAGTTTTGGAGTTTTATGATTATTATAAAGTCATAAACGTCCTAATAAATCATGTTATTGTTAAAATGTCACGCGTCATTATTATCATATTATGTTATCTATACCTAAACGTAGGTGTAAAATGTACCTCTTAAACAAATACAATAAAACTAGATTAAACTTCCTGCCTGTCAGTTCCAGACGACCTCGTTGGTTAAGTAGTCACAAACTAAATTGCTAAACTAGGAGTTTTGGTTTCGATTTCCTTGTTTGAAAACATATCATGAGTATTGAGAAAATTCTGTGTTGGGGATATTGGAGATTGGAGCTCGGTGTAGAGAATAGTTTCACTTCTTCTCTTTAATGCACCCTTCTAATTGTATGTGCAAATGCGCAACTCTATGATAAATAAAAAGCTTCGGTGTTTCCTGTTCAATATATTAAAATTCATATTTATATATATAGTTGTCTACATTTCCAGCTTGTAAACTACTATCAATTCAAAGAAGACAATCCAGAATTGTTCAAGGACGTCTTCCCTCTTGACTTAAGGAAAATTGGAGATGCTGGTGTGATCACCGTACCTCCATACAGGGACCAAGGCGGACGCAGACTGCTGTTCTATAGAATAGGTAAGAGAAATATACTTAATAACATTGTATCCTTAAATTAAAAAAAATAATAGTATTTTTACTATTATTGTAATCAAAATTATTTAATACTGACTATCCATTCGTTAAATCGCAGGCGCAGTTAGGCAGCCTATGAAGAGCAGTTTGATATAATTTCCAGGCATTTTTTTTGAGGGATGAAAATCGTCCAATGACTTCTCCCGCCCGAGTAAAAAATAACAAAAAACAAAATATTATTTAAAATATTTTTTTTCAAACATATAGTATGTGGATTAAATATATTTTTTATCATGAAATATTATTTTTTTGGGGTAATACAGGTACTGCATTAACGTAATAAGCCATTTTTGAAATTTACGACACTAGCCTATTTTTCAGGCACTTAGGTATTGTTAGTATTATGTGGAATAGCACTTTATATGTTAATACTATTATAATCTCAGCTGCTTTTAAATATGTACCGAATATACCGAAACTATAGTAGAGATACAGAATAATTTGGGATGCGTACGAAATAACATTAACTTTATTGAATAAAGGTAGCAAGAGGATTGTTTGACCTAGATACGCCTTACAATATGGTCCTCCATTTACATGAGCGAGATTGTGTTAGAAATGGGTACAAAATATAGGTTCGATTCTGTTATCTTTCAATTTACGATCATAGTTGTATCATTAACCTACTGTAGGACCCTAAAAGTATATAATTCTAATTCAATGTACAATTACAATGGTACGCATAATTTACTGATATGAATGATTATGTATTTAGATTACCGTGTGAAGTATTCATTAGTTGACTTTATTATGGTGTTTGAAAAATAATTAACTCAAAGTTAGGCCCATTAATAGGAAGATCTGGTGGTTTTTTGCAATTGAAAAAAAAGTCGTTACACTATCTGGTTTGCGTAAATAACTGGTACACGAATAAAGTTTTTTCCACTTGAATATAACTTCAAAACAATAATTGTTGTAGTATATATTTTTTCTGCGTTCCCTTTAGATTTTTTGCTTGATGCAGCAATCCGGTTACACACTAACATCAAAATTTTACAATTACCAATATTGTGTTCACTGTTCCAGGTTGTTGGAACCCGAAGGTGGTACCCGTGGAAGACTTGTTCAAAGCGACCATCATGGCTATGGAGCTAGGTTTGCTGGAGCAGAGGTCGCAGATATTGGGTGGAGTAGCTGTGTTCGACCTGGAAAATATTGGCACCCAGCACGCGTGGCAGATCACACCCTCAGTCGCATCCAAAATAGTCAAACTTATGGTGGTAAGTGGTTTCTCTTTTATTTACAAGTATTAATAACATTTCGATGTAAAAGTCATTCAATCACTCGCTAATAATTTAGTAAAAATATGATAATATTGTATTATGATGCAATGACAAAACTTAATTAAGTATTAAGAAGTGTTGTAATTGGTTTACCTACCCAATACTGCAGGTTAAATTAACATTTGTTTCAATAAAAATAAAAATTCATTATATATTTCATCTCTTTTCCAGTCATGTTTCCCGCTAACGACGCACGCCATTCACATCATCAACCACTCGTGGCTGTTCGACAAGATCTACAATATCTTTAAACCCTTGTTGAACGCCTCCATGCGCTCCAGGATCTACTTCCATGGCCACGACTACAAGTCCTTGCACAAACACATAGACCCAGAGCACTTGCCAGAGAGGTACGGTGGAAAATGGCCAGATTATTCTTACACCATCTGGTTAAATTCTTTGAAGAAGAACTTTAACGTGGCGAAAGAAGTCATCAGTTATGGGTACAAATTCCGTGAAGAAGAAGTGGATCCTGAGGTAGTGAGGCAGCTAAAAGCAGAAGGTGTTAAGTTGTATTAAGACTCATGATAGTCAACGAGTCCTGGACTTTTTAATAGTGTTATGAGAGTGGTGTTCTTGTATTGTTGTGGCTTATGTGCATTTGGATATAAGAATAATTAATGATTAAAATTATTCTCGGAGTCTATCTGGATTAGTATAACAAAGCGGATAATATTTTTTTAAATAGAGATTATATATCATTGTTTTATACAACATGTTATAGGTATTAAAATAGCCAAATTGATTTATTTCTGTCTTTACGCCTTAGCCCTTGACGTTTGCTATTAAAACTTACTTTAGTAGTTTTGAAATTTTGACTTACAATTTTATTTTTTTCTTATTGATTTACTCAAGAATTGGTAGTTCAGTATTTAGTAGGCAGTCTGCCAATCCACGTGTTGGATAAATTTGGGTTTATGGTATCAAAATTTTAATCCTAGGTGTTTGAAAAATGGGACTAATTATAAACGAATATAAGATTTTTTCTACAGATTATGTTATTACATATTTAGCACCAGCTAATAAATTACCACCAGCTAATAAATATCCAAAATTTATTATTATAAATTTTGGATATTTATTAGCTGGTGGGTCCTTCAACAATCAATATTATAGTGTAAATCAGTATGTTACATGTTTAAATTCGTTTAAGATCCCATAATAGCTTTTTCTTCTGTCATTCCTAAGTTAGATTAGTTATTTTTGGAGTCTAACTTGAGATTTTTAGCTTTGTAAGATAAAGTAGTTACTGATTCATATGATAGAAACTTTTTAAGCTAATACTTGTTTCATTTTGACCTGAAAGCAATAGTTTACAATTATTCATTTGAATCAGTTGGTTATTAAATTAGTATTTTTGTTTTTTTTTGTTCTTAAATAAGTTCTTTATGATGTAATTACTAAAAAGTTAAAGCGTACTATACACGATTAGTCTACTTACTTACTTTTTCTTTTATATATTTTTTTAATTTTATCAATTTTTTCCATGTTTAAATTATCTTTGTGTCGATTATAATGATGAAAGTCAGTTAGTTTTCTCGACTTATCTTGTGCCTATAGTAAACTTTAAGAACATTGAGAGAATTCGTCAAAAAACCTGTGATAGATGTAAATACACGTTTAGTTCGTAAGTTACTTTTTATATTCAAGTACTGCTTAATGTATGCTTAGCAATAATAGAAAAGTTTAAAATAAATGAAGTTTTATTACTTAAATCATTATTTCATAACATAACATAACGTCACGCCTTTTATCCCCGAAGGGGAAGGCAGAGGTGCACATTACGGCACTTAATGCCACTGTACAATGCAACACCCACTTTTGACTATTTCATTATTTCAGTAGGTACCTAGTTAGGCACTAGACTCACGGCGAGTCACATCCTAATGACAAGACGATATCCTACAATACCATCATCTTTATATCAACCACAATACTTCCACTGCTGAACAGGGTGCTTACTCTTGAAACCAATCTCATTGTCAATGCAATTTCAATCCAATAGTATCTCGTTAATTATTAAATGTCAAAACTATACAACATATTAAAATAGCTTTCAGAGTACAGAATATAAAGCCAAACTCAATACCATTTAGTTCATTAAATATCCGCCCCGTACGAATGCAATGGGCGCTAGTGTCGCAACACGTGCAAAATTTTACAACACCTACATAATATGTCGATCAATCGTAATTGGATTCAAGAGTAAGCCCCCAGGGAGGAGAAGGGAGACGTTTCCCTCAATGACTTCCAGACAGGCGAGTTCGAAGGGCGCTACATTTATCCTAAAAATATAAACCATTTTAGTTCTCCATTCATTGTCCCAAAATATAAAAATTGTTTCCGATTTTCAACAATATTTATACTACCTTCGGTCGCCCTGAGACCGTTTAACTAAGGGAAGGGTCGGTGCTTAATTTAATATATATTCTTCGGTCTACCCCGGTGGAGAAGTGAGCAGTGTTTAAATAATGCGTTTAATTATCTATCCTTACTAATATTATAAATCAGAAAGTGAGTTTGTTTGTTCCACTTTCACGCCGTAACTACTAAACCGATTGCTTTGAAACTTTGCAGACGTAAAGTTAGAAGTCTGGATTAAATAATAGGGTACTTTTAATTTTATCCCGGAAAAATTTGATATTCTCAAGGGAAAACGAAATTATTGGTATAGATGGCGCTGTGTGTATTGGTATATATCACATAGGCTACTTTTTATCCTTTTGCGACGCGAGCGAAGCCGCGGGTAAAAGCTAGTAACACATAATTGAACATCTGTTTAACTGAAAAATTTGATGTTCACATGTGAACGAAAGATTTTATATATCCGGAACTAAACTAAACTAAACATACATTGTTATATAAATAAATGTGATCGTTTCAATTATCTGTTAAGAAAATAAATGAAGTTTGTTGAACAAATATTTAATTCTTGTTAACATAGTGTACTGTTTATTATAACAAATGTTTTTTTGCAACTTTGTCCTTGTGTTTGATGTTCTATATTTTATTTTAATTGGTAAGGTCATTAGCTTTCTTTAATTACATTATTATTTCTTTCGACTGCTAATGAATTTCATAAGCTGTTTTGATATGCAAGAATTATAAATCAAAGTTCTGAGTAATATCTTCAAAGGATCTGACTCAAGAGAGCCTTGCTCTTGCTCTCTTACAATATAGGTACTTTTCTTACTAATGTTTATCAATATCGTAAAAAAAGCATATATTGTTACATAACCCCAATGTCGCACTCTTATGGTACTTACAATGTCGCGGAGAACCTAACGGGTAACCGGGGCTCCGGCTCGACGTGCAGGAGAAGGAACGGGGTGGTTTTTAGTCAGTAAGAGTCTGACACTCCCTCCCGCCACACCCAAGCGGGAGCAATCATTCGATGATTTCCCCCCCTTAAAAAAAAAAATGGTACTTACAATAAACTATTGTAGTTGTATTGTCAAATTCCATAAGAAAACTGGTATATGATAATAGGTAATGTTTGCAAACAGTTGTTTAGCAGACAAGGACTAATTTACTCTGCACCTTTTCATTAAGGGCAAGAGTATGATCAACGAGTGTTTAAGAACGGAAGTATTTTTAAATATACTGCCAGAAATTCGAACCTAAGTAATTGAGTGCTCTCTAAGAATTAAACTTTACAATATTCCTGTCATTGACAAATTAGACCTTTACAATACCCACGCCAGTACATGAATAAATTTTGTTTATACAACCAACTTTTATGATATTTCCATCCAACTACTATTTATTTTAATTTGTTTAAATTGTCATCAAGTGGAGGCGTAAAGGACAAGCATGGTGTAAACAACTATACGTAACTTAGAAGAGATCTTATCAAATCAACCACTTTTCGTTAATTATTATGATCGCAATATAATATAAATCTAAATACTTACAGACTACACGTTGTTATTGTGATCCAGATCAAACTTATTTCAGAAGATGAATCTAAAAATCTACTCAAAATTCATAAAGCTGTTATTTTCTACAAAGAGTCTACGACAGTCAACATATTCTTCTGAGCTGAGGTTAAAGACTACCACACTGTTCCAGTAAACGAAAATGGGGTGAATAAAACAATATATTTAGCACATGTTTATAGTGTGGGAGTCATATAAATATGATTATATTATTCCAAATTAAGTGAATTGGAACATTTTTTATGAATATAGCATCTATCAATCATGTTCATCGTCTAGTCAGGTCTCAGGAGCAATGGCCGCGAAGCCCTGTGACGTCACAAGACGCGCCCCCGGGCGACAACTCGTGCGACAGCCGATGGAGGGCGCGATGTATGGCTTCCAAGCGATTGTATTGAAATGTCGGCCACACTGGAACATGCGACACTGCCCACGTTTGCCTACGAGTAGATGTCACAACATGATGACGCTAGGGTTCTAGTTTAATCATACAAGAATGGGAAGTGTACTTTTGTTTAAAGAATATTAAGAAAACTAACACTAAACTATAAGTCAGCAGGTTTTGAGCTTATTCATGATATAAAACCATGATGAGGACTCGTCATAAAGCGCCATTTATCATACTGATAAGTAATGATAGCAAAGAACATTCGCATGTGTTAATTTTCGAAGAAAAATAGGAATCTTATTTTTTTCATAACTTATAATAGTGAATTCATTAATATGAAACGTTTATGAATTTATATTATTTATTGGCAATTATAGGTATAAAGTAAAAATATCAATAATAAATTAAGTAAAAGGTCAATAATAATCAAAATAAAATACAGTTTATAATAAAAATACAAAACAAACAAATCTACCTTCTACAGCGAGTCACACATTTTTTTTCTTCTAACAGATCACCTTTACTACTTGTTGCATGTCTTACATTAGGAGCTCTTATGTTTTCATTAGAGTTTTCCTCCGATATTTCTACTAAACATGACGAGCGAGGGTCCCGTAGCCGCGAACATCTGGGGAATTTGAAGTTGGATATGTTTTTGGTGTCAGATTCCTCCGTCTGCTGCTCGGTCACCTCGGCGGGCCGCCTGAACTTGCGGAACGTGTTCCTCAGACGTGTGAGGAAACCGTTTTCGTTTGATTTCGGAAACGGCAGAACTTGTTGCATTGACAGCGATGGGCCTTCTCCCACAGGAGAATGGTGGTCTAACTCTATTTTTGCTATCTTATGTACGCTACTAGAACTAAGGAGAGGGACGGGCGGCCGACTCAAGTTGCAACAACTTTGAGTGGCCTCTTGCGGCTTCGATGGTCGGTGGCTCTTCTCTTCCAGACGTTTACGAAGGAAGTGTACGCTCGCCGTGTAGAACAGTAGCTCGTCATCGGGCTTCGAGAGTGCCACATCGAGGGGATCCGAAGTCACACTGTCAGCAGTCCTCAATGTTAAACTATTTCGCCGTTGCATCCCTTGTCAGTGTCACTAATCTGAGTTATGGTCGAACACATTTTTATCTCATCAGAAAATACTTTATAACAATATTAATTAGCTTATAATATTTAAGGTTTACGAACAATATTAATTTCCCTAATTGATTTATTAACAAATTGTAATTGTAATTGTACTGACGGCGCGTCAATGTCATTGAGAAAATGGTTGGAAAATGGCCGATGTTTTATTTTTTATTGTATCTACTTTGTGAAAATATTTTATCAAAGAGGTTTGATGGAAACTGCACGTGGCGTGTAATATTTGAATGCTCTGAATATTCAATATCAATTAAATGAGATTCCAACTGAACGATTCACACGCTACATTGAGCGTATGCGTAATATCATGCAGTGTATGATGCCTTATATTGCAGCTCTACAAGTCTACGTTAATATACGTCATATGTTAAACTATTTAAATATTTATTGAACCTTGATAATGATTTTAAATTAATGTTTATTTTAATTTAGTTTAGTTGTGAATGTAATACTTACACAAGACGTAAGAGCTAGTCCATTCATTCACCAGTGTTCAACCAAAACACAGGAAGAAATTAAAACACATAATTTACAACACCAATAATATACAAGAATCGATAAGAGAATGGATTGCATTTAGAATTTTGCAAATTTCTCGATTTCCGTATTAACGAAGTTCTTTGATGTTCAAGATTAGATTAGTCTAAAGTTAACCTTGCAGTTTAAATTTGGTCCTAATAAACTGAATGTAGTAATAAATACCTAAGTATTATTAATAGATTACCAGACGTACATGTAATTACGAAATATTACGACTGTTTACCGATGCACGTCGTAAACGTATTTTGGTCTAGACTACTCTAGACTTTATCAGAGGTCAGGCTGTGATATAATTAAAGACATAGTTTTAAAAACGTTATACAGTCTTACCATCCATCAACCGAATTTCGAAAACTGAATTATAAAGTTATTCATTTTATAGTTATTTTGTAAATGCATACTTCTCTTCATCTTTTTTATGGCATAAGCCGGTAAACAAGCCGGTAAACACCTGATACCATCAGCAATCGGCGTCGCCCATGAACACCCGGAATACCAAAGGCGTCACACGTGCGTTACCGACCTTTTGGGGATTGGAGTTTGAAGATCGTTGGGGATTCAGGGATTGGGGAGATTGGGGAAGGGGAGGGTAATTGGGCCTCCGGTAACCTCACTCACACAACGAAACACAACGCTAGCGTTGCTTCACGTCGGTTTTCTGTGAGGCCGTGGTATCACTCCGGTCGAG